CTTGTAACGCGACAGCCGCTTCAACGCGATTTATTCTTCAAAACGCCCGATTTCTCGCATATCGTCGTGCACGACGTCATAAAAACTATTCCATCTTTTTTTGTCGCTGTTCTTTACAGTTGCAAGCATGTTCAGCAGCAGCGTTAAACACGGCGAAATGTCCTGCCAGCCGGAGTGGAAGTAAAACGCGACATATTTTAACGAGCTCTAATCTTTTTGCGATTTTGCTCTTAACGGCGGTACAAAGTGTTGAAGCAACTTAACGACGAGGATCCACTCGATAGCGGTAAAAGCGACGGCAGTGACCATTTGCAAGAGGGTAACCGAGGATGGAAAGGCAGGATATGTGGTCAGACTCTATACGATGACTCTCTGAATTATCACAATTACGGACGCGTAAGTTCTCTATTCTCAAATTTTTTAATTTTCTGTCCTTTGTAGGATCTGAGAATACGAAATGTTTCGAGATTTTTCCACATTTTCGGACAATTGCTTTTTTGCGCGATTAACGCGCGACATTTATAAGAATTTTTTTGGAAAAAGAAATAATTTGAAGCTTCAAAAATAAATTTTTTATATTTAATAAATAATAAGAGATAATAAGAATTCAAATTTTTTAAAGAGAGAATACACATTAAAAATATAAATACAAGAATTGCTTAATTTTTACTTATTTCAATTTATATATTTTTTATTTATTTTCCAAAATGTTTCATATTAATTTTTGTATTTATTAGACGTTATATAAAGGCGCGCTCTTTCTAATTTTAGAAGTTTCAAGATTTATCGCGCAACATATAAGCAATATAGCAACGAGCATATTCATAGATATCGCAGAAGCACCCGGTACATACCCGGCGTAAGACGGTGACATTGAATTATTGTTAACCTGGTAAATGCAGTCCGGCAGCTGTCGTCGCGCCTCGTTGCTGAATGCGACAAGGCGTTCCGGTAAAATATGCGAATGCATAATTGAAAAACGGCGCGCGGCGCCGGCGTCGAGAAACCACAGCTTTTTCGGCGTTTCTTCGAAATGCTGTAAGATGGGATTAAACTGGCGCTCGTCGGAGGTAACTTAACGCCACGCTGAATAAAGATCGTATCATCGGTACTCTCTCTTTCTCAGGAGAGTAATTCGTCAGTTCCACTTACGATATACACGAGATTCCGAGATCTATCTTCACTCCGGGGGAGCGCAAAAGTCACCTTCGCCAATCCAGTTTAATTCTCTTTTGCGACGTCACGAAACATTTTCTATTTCCAAGTGATATAAAATAAGCAATGTGTTTTAGAGAGTTCTTTTGATATAAATTAATTATCTTACTTTAAGTTGAATACAAAAATGAGTTATTCAAAAATTAAGTTTCAATATAAAGAAAAAAAATATATCAAAAAAATTAAAAACAATTTATTATTTAATTAAAAATTTTTGTTTTATCTTAAAGTTATCGCAAATATCAGTTTGATGAAAATTGAACGTAAAATTAAAAATTTAATTTAATTGTTCAATAGAATAAATTATCCGACAATTTAAATTAAACACTATTTAAATATACAATTCGATGCATTGTAGATATAACCACGATTAATTGAAAGAGCGTAATTGGCTGCACAGAATCTAAGAGCACACGATATCGATATCAAATTAGGTCAAATTATCGAACAATCACGGTCGAATAATCACGGGAAAATTGTACAAAACGGACAAAAATAATAATCGCATAAACGATGGGTAGCAAAGACTCAATTAAAGACAATCGATACCAATTCCTCGATAGAAGATATTCGATTGCATTCGGCTGACAAACGACCAGGTGATTTGAATAATGATTTGAGCGAGATATTCCGAGTCGTAAAGTTTTGCACACGAGCTTTGAATCGCGTAAATCCTGCTCAACGATAGATAGAGAGCGCGGGAATGGGAATGTGAGGGAGCTAGAAGGGTAGAAAGTGAAAGATGAGGGAAAGTAAGACGAATGCTGGCCCAGGCGAGAGAGAGAGAGAGAGAGAGAGAGAGAGAGAGAGAGCGAGAGATTTCGAGTCGCCGGCGCAAAGACGGCACACCGTAGTCCTCCGCTATATTAGCAAAGTTTTATGACGTATGTAGTCGCGACGTGCAGTCACCACGGGAAAATGCAAGTTTCCATCCTTCCCGCTCTATGGTGCAGTCCGCCGTCGCTACGAGCCCCATGGGTCTACGGACATGGTGGACGGGGGAGAATAAGGGACGAGATGACGTTGGGGACGAACCGACTGCCAGAGAAACTTATGCGAATCTGAAAATGTTGAGATACATCTTGCGCGGGCAAGTTCGTAATGATTGGATATCTTCATTAGTCATTTAATAAGTCCATTTAATAAGGCTCATTAAATCCTTAATTATTATTAAAAAGCAGCTCTCTAAATCTCATAAAGTAGTTTCACTATTAAATTGTTCATCTTTGTTCATACATAGCGGGGAATTGTCTAAAAATATCGTAAAATTGGAAAAAGGGGAGGAAGAAGATAGTCGTCCATTAATAATAACGATCACATCTTGGGTCTACTCGATTCTCTAAACTCGCCTTTTTCTTCGCGATCGTTGCTTAGCGCGATCGTTGCTTCTCCGATCTCGCTGGGTGAACCTCAATCTATTTATCTATATATCTATCGCACAGTCGCCCAGCCGACCATTTCGTTCGAATCGAAACACGCTATCTCTCCCGCTGGCAATGGCAGAAACGAATTCCCGTAATCCCGTCAGACGTTCTCCGCCGTCGAGCCGTTATTTAAAGCCGTCCAACGGCCATTCGATGAGCGAAGCTATCAGCTACAAAATAACTTTAGTTATAGATACGAATACAATTTCCTTTTTCCTTTGAATGCAATGTCTGATTGTTTAAAAATTAAACGCATGCTATTTTAATCAATTATAATATATCAAGTCAACTATGGTAAAAATACCACTTTGTTAGGTATATAAAGACAAATGTCTATATTTACAGATTATTAGATCGGAATAATATGTTTTGTTTTATCCCAAATCCGGTAAAAAAACCGCTTTATTACATAAAGATAAATGTGTGTTTATAAATGATTAGTTCGGGATAACGTTTTGTTCTGTACCAAATCCAAATTAATGTCCATAATTCGCAACATTCTCTTTCTCTCTCTGTTTTTCTGATATTTAGAATTTGCCGTAGTCCTGTCTCAGACTTATAAGACGACGTTGAGAAATTCTTAGCGCGACTTTCACAAATCGGAATGGGTGTGTAATTTTCAGTCAACGTTGTTTCGCGTCAATCGATCGTGACATTTCCCTTCGACACCTGTATGTCGCTAAATGCACGCCGTTTTTCGCTCGCGGCACGCATTTTACACAGTCATATAGGTTCCCGGGGCGATTTCCAATCTGTGATCAAGCGCCGGTCTATTTGCAACTTGATGGAGGTATTCTGGATTCGAATTGGCGTGTTGTTCCGTTGGCCGATCTATCCTTTTTTCCGTGCGAATTTTTTGACGTCGAGAATTCGTTATTATAAAAATATCTCCCGCCGTTCGATACTCGCGAAATATGTTCAACGAAGAGGAAACTTCATTATTGCTTTTCGATGTAATCATATTCAGTATGTGCATGGGTTAAATATAATCATTTTAGTTTCCTTAATTGATTCATCCATGTTATACATATATTTTTTCTAAACATTAAACTTTACAGGATGGCTATTTTAAATATGGAAAATATTTAAGGTTAATATAATGGACTATTAAATTTTATTAACAAAGAAAACAGTAATTAGGATATTAATTAACTTCCGTAGTCATTATTATTAAAAATTCACAAGTTTTTATACTCCACATATATTTTATACTCCAGTAAAACTTCTTTTTCCAAGAGATTATATTATCTAATCAATTAATCTATAACGTGTCATCGACTTCAATCTTGTGTTTTACAATTTACAAATATATTTCATCAACTTATTTTAAAATTACGTTTGGTCGTAATGCCATATCAAGTATATTTAAATCGCGATACGACGTTATACATATAAGTCGATCATGAATCACGGAGTTTTAATCGCCTCGTGTGCATTTTAAGCAAGCGCGTTATACGTTCCGGACACGCGTAAGACTGCATACTCGCGTGCAATAAGACCCCGGGGGGGTCGATCGGCGATCTGCGCGCCCAGCCGCCCAGAGATCTATCGCGTAGCGCGAAGGGTGAAATTCGGCAAGGAACGAGCGGATTAATCGCGATAATTCCGCCCGAACGACGCTGAGATTCGCCAGGAAATTAAAACTTTTCGCGAGGACTCGTTATCGCCCTTTCACACTGACTTCCTGTCGGGTGCACGCACGCGCGTGTATCGAATCGCTGTCGTTCACGCGATCAGCTTTTCTTGCCGCTGGCAAGACTCTCAAAAAGGTTTTATGAACTCTGCAAGCACACTCCTACACGTAATCCAAACGCGGTAAAGATTTAAGAGTTGACTTGTCGTCCACTGTAATGCCTCACAAATTACACGGAAAAAGCAGTAAAACGTAAATCCGAAAGGAAAAGATTACATCATATCGTCAAGACATGTTACAAAGTTGAATTCGATCTTATTCTTGCCATTCTGTATTTTGATATGTCCATTATATCATGTTAGATTCAGAATATTCTATTATGTATTAAGTAAATAACAATTGCAGGAAGAAAAGTTGAAAAGATACTTGAACAATTTAAATATATAAAAATTCAACATTTTTAAGAATACAGCGATTAGTGTACCGCGTTAAGTTCAAAACGTTCTAGCGCACTTAAAAAAAAGTAATGGTTGAAAGCTCTATTTAGCTCGGGTCTTTGGAAAAGGTAATAAAATGGAATAATAAAGTTCTGGAACTCATCTCAAGTGTGCACGTATCTTTGTCTCGCGGTTTCTCGAAAATTTTTGTAGCTTTATCCAGCTCCCGCGTCAAAGCTTTCAATTTTCTCCCGTGCGGCGCAAAAAAAAGTCCATTCGAAATTCGCTTACCTTGACGCGCAGCAGGTGCTGCAGACTTTGAGCCTGGCTGCTATTTAAGGGTGGATTGTCGGTCCCGAGTCGTGCCACTGCAATCACGTTTTCTCGGGTCGCGTTGTACAAGAAGAGCGTGCATACTGTCTGTAAATGGAAGACGAGAGGTAGAGTTGACCTGGAGTAGGTAGATAGGAGGTGTAACGTTGGCGCGTCATCCGTCGCTGCAAACGTGGCGGCTTTATTAAATTCCGCGCGGCCCGATTTAGTTTTTAATCGACGCGCAGTTTGACGAGCCATTACATTTCTCATTGACATTTCTCATTATCGGGATTTCTGCGCGCCGATCGGAGATGCTGCGCATTAATTGCATTCTGGGAATTTCACGACGGAAACGCGCGCGCTCCCTTCGCCCGTCTCCTTCGCCGCGCCGCGCGTCGCCGAAACGTAGTAACGCGGGATGTAATAAACCCCGCGCGAGGGAATAATCGACTGATTTTAAATTCTTTTCTGGGTCATCAAATTCGCGATGACCAAAATTGTGCCAAGACAATCTCTTTCGATTTCGGAATTTATAGGCGAAATTTCGATCGAGCCGTATACGGCGTTGACCAAGAAGCGACAATTTCGAAGTGTCATCCCGGCCGAGGTATTAACGATCAATAGGAACAACGTGACAGCAACGCCTCACCTGATTATTGACTTCCTCTCTCATGAAATTGTCGAGAGACGACACCGCGTCCAGCACGGTCACATTGTTGTGCTGCTTCAATAAGGTTTCGTCCTTCTCGCTGTACCCCAGGAACATGAAAACCCCGTGCGGTATACTATATGTGTCTGCGCAAATAACACAATGCTGGTATTATATGGCGAGAAGAGAAATCGTTTTCTGTCGGACTACTCGAAAATCGTCATATTTGAAGTTCGTCGAGTTCAAAAGAAAAAAAAAAAAAGAAGAAACTTATTGAGCATATTTAACATAAACTGTGTAAGAAATAGGATTTTATTAATGAATTTAATTTTAATTGTAATTAATTAAATTTTAATTTATTTCTAAATTTTGAATTTTCTGTATCCTGTAAAATAAGATGCTATTATAATTAATTATAATTCTTCTGTTAAGAGTTTAATTGACTAAATCGGCTATCACCGTCATGAGAGATCGATCAATGGTTTTGGTCAGATTAATCATCAAGACATTTCAATGGGTCTTAGTCCTTTTAAATTAATGTATTATAATTTTGAAGCTTATATATGTATAAGCATCGTATTTAAATAATTTAATTTATAGCCAATCAAGTCGATTAAAAAGTTTTAATTGTTAATTATTTGTTGGCGTAATAAATGTATTTATTCGGTATAATTCTTCTATTTATCTTACAATAAAACAAAATTAAGTTGTTGCTCGTTCACGAAGAGTTCAGTAATAATGTTGTTTAAACGATCGACTTTAATTTAATCGCATCAATTATGAGAGAGATGATTACTCACCGGGTGAAGGCCGCATGCATATAAAGCCGCCGCTATAGCAAAGGCAAGGACCTCGGTGCGCCTGGTAGGCCGGCGCTTCGTGGTTGTAGAAAGCGAAATCCGTCTTACAGGGTGACGAATCGACGCAGATGGTGTTGCAAACGAGTTGCTCGCCTTCACCACAGTGGCAGAGCTCCGAGCATTCGGGCTCGTCCTCGCGATAAAGCTACACAAACAGAGCACGTTGAAATCGATACGTTCACCTATCATTGTGCATCTTAAAAATATATCGTTTGCCACAAATGTAAAAAATCTTTATTACTTATTTTTGAATGTTACTTATATATGCAATATATAATAAAAAAAATTTTTATATATGCAGTTTTACGTTATATAATTTTAAGCTGACACGGTTTTTTATTTAATATTTCCGTGTCACTATTAATTTGCGTTACCGCTAAAATCAGATTGCTTTCATTCGCGGCACATTTTATTTTCTACTGTAACCTTTTCATAAAGTTTCTATATAAATCTATGATATTTTATTTTTTTACTTTTATTAGAACACATTGGCGCAGTTAAAACTTGAAACATTTTACGATACTAAAATTTATCATCTAAATACCCACATTCTAAATTATAACAGTTTATATACATACGGTTCATATTTTCTTCAAACAACATTTTTATTTCATATTTCATCGACAAACTTATCAAAATAAAATTCAACAAAAATCTCAGGATAAGAATAAATATTGCCGCGCGCGTTTGTCTTTTAATATAATTAATTAAAGCTTTTTAGCTTGCTTTTAGAATTGAGGAAATTTCTCATTAATGAAAGAGTTAAAAAAATACATCGCGACGTGAAAAAGAAGCCGCGGGCGACTTTTTCGTTTCTTTACGATAAAATTCGCTGTGTGCATTAAATATCCGATTTCCGCTGACACCCTTTCCGGTATGACGTCCACAAAACCCTCGCTTTCTCTTTTTTTTTGCCTCGCCGAGCATCGGTTCTCAAGAGTGGCGGTAGCGGTGAGCGCTTTGCGTCGCGACGGCGATCGCGAGAGACTTGGGAGATTGCGAGCGACTCACCCTTTTGCCCTTGCCTTCTCTTATGTATTGCTGACTGTGTCTCGGCCTTTGAACCACGCAGAAGCCTACAAAGAGAGTGACGTGAGAAGCTGTCTTTTTCGCCAGTTTATTTCTCCAGTCCTTTATCAACCTCTTTTCTCCCAACGTATCTCACCCGGAGGCGATCTATCTAATTTGCTTCTTGATGCGGCAGACGAAAGAGATTAAAAATTCTCCTTTTTCTCAAGCTACCGGTATACGCGGAGGTTTATTTATAAAAAAGAGACGTTGTCTGGCTTGAATTGAAAAGTATAGATGTTTAAGATGCGTATACACATAATGATTGGAAACAAGAATCTTGAAATTTAGAACGCTATAGAAATATAACAGAGTATAAACGTAAAGTTTAAAATTTCGCAATATATATAAATCCAATTTCCAACATAAATTATTGTATGTAATATAATTAAATATAATGACCAATCAAGTTTCAGATGAAATTGCTGTTACAGTAAAATCTACGAAAAACAAGTTTTTATTACCTACAAAATATGTTTCAAGGTATAATTTGTAAACATTTATTTTAAACATCTGTAAACGTTTATTTTTTAGCGCTAGCTGTATTTCCATACCCCTTAAAATTGAACGAAATTGAAAAAAGCAATTAGTAACTAAAATTTCCCCGGCAGAACACCCCGATAAAGCACGATAGAAATCAAGCCAATTATTGCGTAGGGAACTAATTATCATTAAATCCGTTCAGACTCCACTCACGTGGTGTCGGCGTGGTGGTCGTGGTGGTGCTCGGAGTGGTGCTTATGGTGGTGGTCGTGATTTCCCAAGTTTCCGTGGGTTCGGTGGTCGGCCACCTTGTCACTTCCGGTATTTGATTATCTTCCACTTGTTCGACCACCGCGGTGGTCGCCGTCGTGCTCGCCGGCGACCTCGTCGTCGACGCGACTGCCGAAGCCGTCGTCGTTGTCGTTGTCTTCGCCGTCGTCGTACGCGAATGATGGTGCTTCTTGCGCGCGTGATAGTCCTTCTGCGACTCCACTGTAATCACCGATAACATTCTCGATGCAAAAACTGAAATTGATTGAAGATTATATCGAAAGGTAGTAGGAATAATGCATCAGGAAATCTCTGTTAACATTTATTATTTCGCGCGACTACTCTTGCAGAACTTCTTGCGGAAATACTTTGGCCGAAAATTTATTTACAATTCCATGTTTTATGATTACCCATGCTGGGATGTGCTTTCACTTTTTGGTCGTATAACTCAGAACGTTTCACGGCACAATAATAAGCACGAAAAACCGCCGACTCGAATCGGCATCGTCACCTCGGAGTAACTTCGGGGGCTTAATACTTTCTTCCCTCGCTCGCACCGCGCGCGCCAGGAAAACGGACGTGTGGCCGCAAATAACAACCGCTAAGCAATATAAAGTGCCGAACGGAGAGCCTGTAAAATTGCAGTTGAATGTACACGTGTAGTCATCCGACGTGGAAGTATGAAAGTATCGGGAAAGTCGCCCCGGCTCCCCGTATCGCCGCGGCACCGCGCGCCGGTGGCACACAGCTGCTGCGAAATATTTCAGCTACCGAGGGGCTCCGGGGTGATTACACTTTCAAGGGGGCACCGCGCGCGCCTCTTCTCTCGCGGGGCGCGTATAGCAATAATAAGGGAACGTAAGATGCGCGTAATAATATTTTACGAGCTGCGGCGGCAAACCTGCAACTTTTATTTTCGCGAAATAGATTATATTTATCAGCATTTATAAATGCTTAATGAAACGGCAATAACCCGCGGTTTTCTATCTTTTTTTAAAAAAGCAAATTGCGGTTAAATCTTGCAAGTAATATCTAAAACAATATCTCAAAAATTTAATTATAAATACTTTAATGTGAAATTATATAAACGGGAATAAGATTGTTATTTTTTCCATTTATCATTAAAGATGTATTCTAAACAATTAATTATACAATTCTCATTGTATTTAAAACAAATTTGATGTAATCAGGAAAAAGACAAGATTTGCCATATAGACGATCTATGCAGTTAGTGATGCCACGCGCAAAATTGCAATTACACCGGTCGAACAAACGACACAGGTTGCCTCTTATCGATCTCTCTCGACCCCGTCGAGTTGTAAAGCACGGCGAATGCAATGGACTGCATTCAGTCAGTAGATAAGTCATTTAGATACGAAGAAATTGCATCTCCTACTGCGTTTTAGAAGCGCATCATGCCGAGCGCAACGGCAAAGCTTCATGCTTTGTCTGTTACATGCTAATTATGCGCTGTATTGTTTATACATATATGTGTACGGTGACCCAGAATAGAAATTATTATGGATAATTTTCTAACAACTTTTCAGTCAAATTTTGCAATTTTTCAGTTTATCGTCATTGAATATTTTTAATAAATTAGTAATTTAATTTAATTATAAAAGTTAAAGCGATATTAGTTAAAAGATAAATTCTTATTAATTACTTTTTACGTAATTTAATGTGCGCTTTCAATTTTCAATATTAGAGACAATTTACATGGGATTTTAAATTGAATTTATAAATGTTAAGAAAAAATCGAACTCAAGCTTAGCAAAAAATAGCTTAATATCAAAATAATAGATGCATATTTTATAACTTTATATTTGATGTTGTGTACGACAAATGACACTTACAGGAAATCAAACACAAATATATTTATATGCAATAATTAAATGCAAAATATATTCATTGCAAAATGCCGTTTAATGAAAAACAAAATAACCGTCACGTCGTTTTTCATGCTGATGGAATCGTGTGAGATAAACATTTGCAAAGACCGGTCAAACATTGAAGCAGTATATCATCAGTCTATATTAATTAACATTCCGATACCGGTGTGCGTGCAGCTTGCGATTATTTTTATTTAATCCGGATATTCTGATTCGATATCGATTTCGAGATTACCGCGTTTTCAAATAACTTTCCTAAAGTATACCTGCTATTTACAAAGTAGGTTAATTGTTTTAAAGAATAACAGTTATTTCTCTTGTAGATGTTATTTATTCTATCCTCGAAAAATACCCAATAATCGGTTTGCTTCTTACTGTTTTACTTTTATTGTATTTTCAATATATAAGGTTAATTAAATTTTACAACATTAAATTTTCTCTGTCTGTATCTAGTATATTTATAAAAAAAAGTGAATTACCAAGCTTGACTTCCCTAATTTAAATTGTTGCGACTGTTGTGTGAATTCTCAACGTGAGTAATGAATATCCCAAAATTTTCCGCTTACCTACGCAAGGGTTCACCCAGAGAAGTCGCTGCCAACCCAGACAGCCGTAGAGCTGGTTGATCTCGGTGCCTTTACAAGCGCAATTCGTATGAAGTTCCGTACCCAGGATGCCCAGCATGGCTTTTCTGCACTCGGAGGTTGGCCCGGCACATTTCTTCGTCACGCTGTCGACCGCGCAACTCTGCTCGTAATACTCCAGCCTAAGTCTGGAAAAATAAAAACATTATTATCTCAAATTATCTACAAATTGCTGGCATGTCGATGCTAGCTGGTATGTAATGCTACCAATTGCTAAGATTACTTGGAATCGATCCGAAGATATTGCTCAGCCATTGATATGTATACATAATTAATTATAATTACAAAATTTAACTATATATACATATTGTATATTCAACCCATATTGAAAGGAAGTTAATTTATACTAAATGCCAAAAAGCAGATTTATTTCTTGTAACAGTAAATATACCGGAGAAACTGGTGTTCATACATTAATTAAATATGGACGTTTTATTATAACGTCAATAATCAGCTGTAAGTAAATAAATAACACTTTGACAAATTATTAAACGTAAAATTGAATTAATTGACAAATTGACTGATTTTCGAGGCAAATAATTACCTTAATGAAAAAGATGTCCAAAAGTGTCTTTGGCATCAGTAATTGTAAGTGATGTTCTAACAATCATTGAATCTGTGTGGTTACTGGTGACATATTAGATAATCGAAGGGGCTAATATTTCGATAGTAGCCAATGGCTGGGTGTTCTCATTGGTCATAGAGACTATTGGTGTGACAATTGATATGATCCATATAAATATGTACTCATAGTATAACATGAGCTTTGTTTCTACAAAGACGCAATTCAACTATACATATAATTTTATAGTATATAATTACAACAATTTGCATTATGATTTAGAGTTAGAATCTACACAATCTTACACAAAAAATTATCTTTTTGTGAATTTCTTTATTTAGATATGTGTAAATATTGTAAGCCTTTCACTGACTCGCTGTTTGATAATATATACCTATATATTAAATTTTTAAAAATATTTTTTAAAAATTAGGAAAACGTGTTCTATATAGAACAATATTTAATATTTTAATATAATAAATAGGAGCGTTAATTTTAAATTCGAATTAATCATACTATTCATATTTCTTACAGTTGAATTCAGAAACATGCAAACTGTATTTCTATTTCGAGTTTTGTCAATCACGCTTTCTCAATAAGATCATTACGTACTATTAAACTACGTTTGTGTATTTGCCGTATTAGAAATCAAATGTACTTTTATTTGGATTTAAAATAAAGTTAACGATAGAATCGTTAAATCAGACAAATAGGTGTCTAAATTCAAAAATTACTGAAGTTCATTAGCGAAGTTTCTAACGAAATTTCACGTTGAATAAATAATAAACACAGATAAAAGTATACAGAATGGACATGGCGTAAAAACTGTTACAGCATGTAACAAAAATTTTATTCTTGGTACATAAATAAGCTTTGTACCAATCGCTCAATTATAGGGAATAATTATATTTATTGTGTTAAAAGCTAATCATATACAAATAAGTTAAGAAGCTATATCCAATGAAAATTATAAGTAAAAAATAACTTGATAAAAATATAATGTAACAATTTTTAGCAATAGTAGAGTAAATTAGTATGAAACATAAAAACCTGAAAAAAAATTATTGACAATTTAATCAATAATTAATTGACTATGATTCTTAGCGCATTGCGTGGTTAATTCTGCTAATTGCGAGTTTGGCGATTCATTTATAAACAACTGTCACGATAAAAATGAATGCTGGCGTATTTCAAGCAATCATTACAGAAAGCAATTAAATAAATGCTATAGAGATACTTCGTAGCGCGGGAATGCATCCCGATTCACAAAGTGTGCATCTATGGCACGCAGCGATTGCTCGTTTCCGTGTCGCCCGTAGATACCTTCTAAATGGCAAAATTAAAAATGGATTCATTCGCCCTCGGCGATAAATCAATTAAAACGCTGAATCGAACCGTGCATACGTACGTACGTACGCGTGCGTGCGGGCGTGCGTGCACGCATGTTCTAATTTAATCGATCAGTGACGCACGTGCACACGTTCCATCGCTCACGATTGCACGCTCCTTTTCGCCCAGTTTAATCCTTCGTTATCCACGCTGTTTTTTCAAACGTATTTATTAACGTGAAATGTATTTTACGCTCTTACGTAATATTTTAATTTTCTGTTATGTTTAACGTTCTGTCGTTAAACAAGGGCCAATATAACTACATACCAATTTGTGATATGTATATATCGAATAATGTCCGAAAACCATGTATACTGAAATACGTATATAAAAAATTTAAAGTTCGCAAACAATTCCAATGGAAAAAATTGATTGGTGCTTTTTATGCGTTAAAAAATCAAAATTTAAAATAGAAATTCATTAAGGTAATTCACAAAAATTTATAAAATAAATAAGAGTCAAAATTTGTACTTATTCTAACTAATACTCCACAAAAAATATATTTATTTTGATACAATATATATTTTAATATAGGGGAGACCGGGGCAAAGTCGGCCCTATTTTTTCGGTGCCAATTTTTAACAACAAAATAAATCATTTTAGTGAAATATAGTATACCATTGTAAAGAGTGAACCCTTAGCTACAAAATTTATATAGGCATTTTTGGTCTACGTCGCTTTGTTCAACCGGTATAGAATAAAAACGACAAAGGTGCAAAAATCGAAAAGTCAAAATTCCCGGGGCGGAGTCGTGTCTTCATTCTCGGACTGGATTTTAAATAAAGATACATAATTTTAATCATAAAAAATAATAGAATACACTTTATTCATTGTTTTTTAGTAGAAAAATGGAAAGCGGAAAATAATTTTAAGAAAATCAATTTTCTTTTTCGCTAACAGTTAAAGCATGTAAAAATAGAGTCTGACGAGCGCACGCACTCGTTGTCTGCCTTACGCCTGCATGAAATGCACTGTTTTTCATCGGCTTTGTTTTTTATTATCTCCGAGCATACGCAGCACATATTATTTAGCTTTCTTGACTTCGTTTTGGCTTGGTCACGACTTTGCCCTGAACACAAGTTTTAGGTTTGGTCGCTTATAAAATAATAGAAATCAATGAAAATAAAAAAACTGCACTGGATTCGTGTTCAGCATGCATCACTCTTTAGAATCACTTACTTTAAGATTCGGAGAGACAATAATACTTAAGATATTACAAACTTTCGACGCGGAAGAAATTTTACTTTCGACCTGCGAAAACACGTTTGCTTCGATAAGAATCACAACATGGCACGTAACCTCACTAAATTCCGTTGGTTACGTGGGCATCATAAGCCGCGTTTATAGTATTAATGGCGAGTTCACACAACATACAGATTTCGAGATAATTGCAAAAACGACTCCGCCCTAGGGCCAACTTCGCCCCGGTCTCTCCCCTACTCTATAAGATTATTATCCTTAGACAGACTCACTGGGGTATACGGGACCCCACGCAAAATTCAAATTGAGCCCCTGCCTTAGGAAGGTTAGTTTTCATACCGAGACGCTAACCATAATTCAGTTTAGTCATCCGGCAATCGACCTCTGTGATTCAGCGAGTGCGTTAGATCCGTGCAGCAGCTATGATCGAAAAAGAAAATCGTTTGGGGTATCGTACACCCCAGTGAGTTATTTACGCTCGACATTTACCACAGTGAAGTATATTTCAGATTTTTTGTAAAAATTGGTAACGAAAAATTATACACTTTATAGCACTCCCCGGAAAATTCTACCTCTGTTTCATATATAATTGTTTAAGATTCGGTCAATTATTTCATTTTTGCTGTTTTTGCACAGCAACTGATTAAAACTTTGTAAAGTTTTTGTGGAGTTAATTTTACTGTTTCCATATACTTTTATAACTTTTGACTACCTTTCAAATAAATAATAATCGACAGAATCTGTTTTACTTTCCATTTCTTGCAATTTTTCCTATCCGACAGTTTTTCGTCATTTCTTCTACTTCAGATGTTCAAAGAAATATGTTTTTTTTAAGAAACAAAAAAATTGCTTACATGCCCTTGAAGGTTGTCTATTCGTCTTTCAAAATCCATTGGAAATTTTAAAATCGGTGAATTTTATGAAAAACTACAGCATTTTTTATAAAAATAGTCATTTCAGCCCAATTTTTGGTTCTTTTTCTTGTTTTTCGAAATTTTTTTACTGGTTTTTTGTACCATCGCAAATTGATGACTACTATCGTCTTCCCTATTAAACAACAAACAAAATTATCTATTATAAAGTTTTTTAAGAACATTCTGGAAATATTATACACGCGGTACAAGTTTGGGGTTATTAACACCCCAGTGAGTCATTCACGTATGAGAAAAATAAGTGAGTCTGTCTAGGGTTATATATACATACAGTTTTATGTAATATTTTAAATAAATTAAACATTATAATATATGCATTAAAAATACTTGGTTGATAAAATTGTTAACTGATTTCTCTCTCTCAATTTACTCAATTCTAAACTACGTTTTTTTATATCATGTAATCCAGCAGATTAATTGGAGTACATCGATACTGCTATGACATAAAACGGTATGTCCAACAAACTGTGAATTATCAGAATTCAATAAATAAGATATGTGTGATAACGTACGAATAATTTAATACAATTTCTGTTAGTAAGAATATTAATTTATTAATAACAACACAACACGGTATGCTGCATGTAAAAAAATAATAAAATCTGTAATTTGGTGGTAATAATGTTCTCAAACTAAAGAAGGAAATAAATATCCTTCGATTAATAATAAAAATATTTTTGCAAATAGAAATAAATTTAATAATTATAAATAAGACTAATCAACATTTATGCAGTCCTTTAAAATTTAAGACATTATACATATTTTAAGATTCAAATTAAGATATTTTTTAGATTGAGACATTACATATTTTATTACTCTATCGAATATCCCAAAATCTCTTATCTCAATTAATAAATTGTTATAATATATTATTTAACCAATCTTTAAACACGTTGCACCTATCTTTTGACTAATTTAATTCGCCAACATATCAATTCTTTTTTGTATTAATGTTAATTACACGCGATTGTAACTTTATCTTTATTCTTCGTTAATTAAAATTCATATATCATTTTTCATAAGATCTAATAAATAGAATTTTTGTGCAATTTTACCCACGACACGATGATGTTTAATTCAATCAAATTGCTAAATCGTAATGCGTCTTCTGTTAGGAGTTACCGTTCTATAGAAAAATAAATTGTTTTGCATGGTACAATGTCCTTTCATCTTTGTCCTCGCAATTTTTTGTTTCTTCGCGGCGAGCAAAAACCGCGCGGTGCCATGGAACGGGAACAAAATTGACACGTAAATAATAATGTCCAATTAGAACGACGCAATCTTATCTCGCTGAGTAAACCAAAGAGGCACCCGATTAAACACCGCAAACGCGTCGTCCCTTATTTTTTCTCGCAGTCCCGCCGGAACTTTTTCAATTTTAAAGTTAAATCGCGATTCAACAAGATTTATACGCGCGCTAATGCAATATTTCCTTAGTCGAAAGGACGTCCGTCCAGACTGCAGGACCAGTGCGACTATGTGGGATGAAACGATACGTCCTGCACCTTCCGGATTTTACGACAATGTACATGAGTGTCGCTTTAAATGAATCTGCTTAAGCGCTGAGAAAACTATTTTATTTCTCATAGAGATTTTTATATCATTTGATATATCCAAAGGATTCTTTGTTAAGACAAAATCAGCAGCGGACTTTATTAAAATTTGTTGAAAACCTTTAATTCATTGTCGGGTATAATTATGATAAATCTATGACATTGAAGCAATTGTTGTTCTTTTATATCTATCAATATTAGGAATCTTTGTTTCGAGAATATGTTTATATATGCGTATTTGGGCAAACGCGCTATTCGTTTGCCAAAGATGTTCTTTTCACGCGCATTCGTTTTACATTTTCAACACTTGCGATTCGTCTGTGTACGGAAAGTTTATGCAGAAACAAGCAAATTTTCTAAAACGTGAATATGACGCACTACACCTCACCTGCAGCTCCTGTTTTCTTTGCAATTCTCAGCCAGACTGTGACACGTTGGCATTTCGGCGCCGTCTATGCGCTGCGCGCAAGTTGGATGCATTTTCTCTTGCGCCACTATGCACTCGTCCTTTTTGCTGTCCGTTTTTCTGCAACATGAGAAACATAGACGAGTATGCAATAAAATTCAGAAAATTATTTAAAACGCGCTATAGTTTATGTAAAAAAAAGTCTAAACAAAATTGCGACTCTAATATTATCCGAATTAAAAAACAATAGGGCTGGATTCGCATTGTTCGTTCAAGCGTTAATCAAATGCGTGTTTTATTTTAGTCAAGTTTTCCTATTCAGTTGTTCGGATTGTTCTTATTTCGAAATGAATAAAAGGACTATTTCATAAAAAAAAACTGCTACGAGGACTCGTGGGATAAAAATAAAACGCGAAGCAAAAGCGGAAAGTTTCCGGATTGTTTCGCGACCAAAAGCCACTTTAAAGTTAAAGGAGCCTCATTAAAAAAATACGAGCCTTTGGCGCGAGAAAAATATTAGGGTTGCTTCGAGGATTTCGTCGTAGTTGTCATTGCGAGATGTTGGCTCGCTTCTTATCGCTTGATATTTGCTTTATATAACTTGAAAAAATTTACGTATGCAATTTCGATTAATCTCTCAAGTAATTGTCAAGAATATAAAACATTTTTGCAGAAGAATTCGCGGTTATCATAAGATTGGATTTAATCAATAAAGACTTTGCGCTATAATAAATAAGGATTATTTAATACCTCAAAAGACAATTTAATAATCACGAGAATTCCGTCACTCCCTTACTTGCTCGACTCGGGATTATACTAAAGCCTTTGATTACTCTTGTTACACAAAGTTGTAAATGCCAATGTAAATTAACTTTGTTTCACCGCATATTTCTTATTTCATAATTTCGCATTAATTATATTCTAAAATATATTCGGTTTCTCAACCTTCAACTTTATAACAACCGTGTTAAAAATTTATTAGTATAATAACAAATTAAATATCCAAGTTTTATTTAAAAGTAAAAAGGATATGGAGAAGTTACACTTGATTTGCTAACGTTTCTATCCTTTGATTGTAACCATAGACACACATAATGGAAAGTTTTTTTCTTTTCTATAAAGAATATCAAAGATACATCTGCAATAAGATACCAGATCACAGAAGAAATTGTATAATTTATAGCAACCTTTCAATTTAGTTTGAAATTTTCATAATTCACCGAGAACAATCTATTGCAATCATGCGCTCCCTCTATTCTTTATTCATCCCTGCAACTCTGTATTGTGCCTATTATTACCTTCATCCAAGTTCAGTGTTGGATGCATGATGCGGGGATGCATCGAGAATATGATTTGGCATTTCTGTCAGTTAAACGCGTTTGCGTTTTCTTTTTTTCCCTGGCATATCGGCTCGGCCCGGCTGCCGCGCGTAGCCGGATGCAACGCGCACTACTCGGCATATGCATAGCGGCCGGCGCGCATTGTTTCGCGTAGCGATCCAAAGCTCCGGTTTCAATTCGCCGGATTTCGAAAAATTTTTCGCCGGCGTGTACGTGCGCGCGCGCGTAATTAGAACGCGAGTTAACAACGCGCGTCCTTCGATTAATTCCAAATTAATTTACGACGGCGCCGACAGTTGATTCGTCATTGCGGCGCTCGCAGCTGCGCCACTCCCGGTACAATAATCCGTTATTAATTCACGTTACGTCGCGTATTGTGCCGCGCGACACAGTCGCTCGCGCAGCTAGCCACCCTGCGTTAATATTTTAACGCGACTTTCTCACGACAATAGACGGCCAATTAAACATTCAGCACCGACAGAACATAACCGAAAAGAGCAATCGTTCCGGTATAGTTATGTTGACAGAAAATCTTTCTGCAGTTGTGTTGAAAAAAACGCTGTTAGCGAGAGACGCACAAAACACGCAATAAATTTTCCAAACAATAAAGTGTACTTTGCGGCAATGTGTGGCAACCATAAAAAAAAATATAAAAGGATTAAATAAGTCCGTTAAATAATAAAGAAAGGACAGAAATTGAAGATGTATATCAAACTATGTAATAAATCTCTAAATATAAAAAATATAATAACAATAAAGTTAATAATAGAGTTAACCCTTTGGCTACTACGCGTGATTATAACGGCTTGCTGCTAACTTGTTCTTAGGAACAAAACGCCACTATAATAGCTTCTCTCTGAATGGTTCCCTTTCGGCATAAAGTCACTATAATGTCTCTTTCCCATGCCTTTATACCTTGTTGCTATTGCAGAGCAGGAATATCTTCAATTAATCTGTGCATTTGTTTCATCGTAAGAACGTTCGCGTTTTTTAATCGAATTCTTTACGGCTGAGCTTTGCGTACAGCGGTACCAGCTTTGCATCTAGCTCAGCCGTAACTAAAGAGTTAAAAAAAGGCTTGCCGCCTATTGACCTGCAGAGGCAGAAGGCAATTTCCACGGAATGCTTGTGATTGGCGGTCTTGTAGAAGTGCTGCAGCGCTTCCATGCACTCGTTCCTCGCGCACGTCGTCGCGTCGCAGTGGCTCAGAACGGGCTCCAGCAGATTCTTGCATTCTGGATCGTTTCTGCGCAAACAAAAACATCCCATATGCAGTTTGTCCCGTCTACAATGATCGGTCGCGCTACAACGAGAAGTTGCGAACTCACTTGCAGGACGTGTAAGCGTGATGGCACGTGCTGGACAGGATCAGTTTCACCGGCTGTTGGATCTTGTCGATGTCTGACGTGGACGGTGGTTCCACGCCCATCTCTGCGAAACAAGCAACGTGTTAGACAGGACGGAAGGTGCTGATCCCATCGTTCATAATTAAGGACAAGCTGGGGTTTAGCCGTAATCTCTTTGCGTATAAAAGTTTCATATGATTCGTATGTTTAATCCGTTGGGTGAAGAACAAAGGGATAAACCATATTTTCCTATTTTAAGGTAGAGAGACGTTTGTGAAAATAGCTGATATAAAATCCAGCTACATCACGCTTCCTTCAGTGTTTCTCCATGACGGCAAATTGAAAAGCGGAAGGTCCACGTGACGAGTTAAAAATAAGCTTGACACTCAAAGGAAGAGCGGAAGATATCGCGCGGGATCTAATTTATCTCGACTCGTGATGAGACGAATGTAGTTTAATGTCTTACTCTAAATTTATATTGATTCCGGTATATATGCGTATAAAAATAACAACGTAAAATGTTCATTATTATAACCGGCGAAACTTTTCCAATTAGCGCCGTGTAATGCAATTGTATGTCAGGCGCGCCTGCATTTGATAAATTGTGAAAAGCATCATTTATCATGGATATATCTAACTATATTTTACGCGCGACGTTGAAGGTTCTTCTAGCACAAATTGAAACGCGAGCACCCGCGCGCTATCGATCGTGAGCATCGAGCGACGTGTGCAACCGCCTTTTCCTCGAAAGAGATCGACATCGGCGCGGTTAAACAGGGCGGCCCCCGAGTTTCCATCTGTCCCTATCTGTAATGCACTGTTTACACAGTCACTGGGGAGACCCACTTTTCTTGCACCGGTGTACACAAATGATAAATCATCGACGTCGCGCCCGAGGACATCGATGTTACTGTAGAGAAGAGCGATGCTTATCGTTTCCTTTATTTCCAACTTCATAAGAATTATGAATCCCAAATCAGGACGCGAACGGGCAATTTCTTTTCATCATTTAAACGCAACGTTATTAAATCCCAAATTGTAGATTTAATTTATTTAAATTCACATATATTATCGAATCTCATTATATAGAGGAAAGTTCCCTATTATGAGACAGGATCCTAATATGAGATATGTTAAGCTAAAAGGCCCTATATAGGCCCCATCTGTTGATTCCATCATAAAAAAACCCCGCCATCTCATATTAGGATCCTATCTCATAATAAGAGACTTTCCTCTATATTTATATCAATTTTAAATAAATATGCGTTTAATTTCTACAAGCGCTATAAAAATAAATCGCGATGTGAGATAATTTTGTGTGAGAAACAATGAGCCATATCATGGAAATCCCTGTTGGAAATTTCTGGCTTCGTAACAGACTCGAATTCGACAAGCGACCGTCCGAGAGATTGGTATCTATCCCGATGACGAATGATCGCCATCATTAACCAACATCCTCTCTTCGATTGATGGAGCCCGGCGACGGGGTTAACGATCGCGCGGGGGTGCCCGTGAATATCGGGAAGGGAGAACGAAACTACTTTTTCGTCGTGAAGGGTGAAAAAAGGGTCTACGATTCCCCATGAGAAGAAGATTCTCCGCCCCGCCAGATGACTGGCCATAAGTCAACCACCGTGAAGAGCGTGGCTTCGACGCACTTTATTAAGACAAACGAGCGGCTCCTAACTCCCCCTGCACATCCCTTTGGAGGCCTTGAATCGTTCGTGGATTATCTGTATATGTGTCTTTGTTTAAATGTGAAAAAGAGATTGCTGATAGCTGTTTGAAGTTTTAATAAAAGCGTATGGATGAAAGAAGGCTATATAATCAAGGTTGAAAATTTTTATTTAGTTGCGACAAAGATATACAATATATAAACATATATCAAGTATGCGTATATTATTACATGAGAAAACTCTTTTAGAGAAGCTGTTGTTTTATCTATATGCTTCTCTCCAATTAGCGTGCAAGATATAAAATACACTGATTTTAAAACCAATATCATTATATGTTAATGGATTCTCTTGAAATAAGTTTGGTATATTAAGTTATTGGCGATAAACTAAAATTAATTTTTTTTTCTAAATATTTAATTAATAAGAATCAAAAAAGGAAAGAAAGAGGGAGGGAAAGGAAGAGAGATTAATGTAAATCATAGCTATCGGCAGAATTGAAACAACTGTAAAAATTGTCAGAAAACTTAAATCGAAACGCACTTTAAGCATTTCCGTTAGAATATTAATATCGCGAATTTCGGATCCGATCGGCGCGTAGCGGGTAAAAGAACAAGGGCAATTTCAAGCGGCAGTAATTGGAACTCATGTCGCATCGGCTTTCCGAGATCGATGTCGGGAGCTCGCCTTCGCGTCGCGAGGATATATCGCGGTTCCTCGGTCAGGTGAAGACCTTTTCGGTGACACAGGTGCGCGGATGCAGAAACTCGCTTCGGCGAGTCGTTAGACTCTCAAACCAACGAGATCATTTGCTCATGGAAAATGGAAAACGGCTAAAACGCCACGAGTGAAACACGTGCTTATTCTACGTACAGCACTTTGGCTAACGGTGTCGAATACAGAGCTTTTTTGTCCATTTCCTTTGTGAAAAAATTCTATTTAGCGCACAAATTATGTAAAACGAGACGTCAATATTTTGTGAGTCAATTTTTAATATTTTCTTGATACTTTGAAAGTGACACTTTCGCACGTTAGAATAATATAATAAATTGTGACTAATGCTGTATAATTTGTTAGTTGTATGATTAATGGAAAAAATGTAATAAGAAAAACCGTTAAGTAATTTAATTGATATTTATCACAGTCAGTATAAAAAAATGTGAAACGATGATTGATCGATGTTGATTCGATTAATAAGCTCGTGCCAATCATTTTGAAGCAAAGAAATTTACACGAAGGATTCTTACGGCATCAACAAATCCATTTTACTTTCATAAAGGTTCATAAAGTGAGCCGCAAACTTCACCATCAGTCAGACACGTCACGTAGAAATGTAGAACGGTGAAACGTGACAGGAGCTGTCAGGACACCCCCCCAAAACCTCGGCAAAACTCAGGTTGCGGTTTGTATCCCAGCTCCATGTTCCCTGTGACTTCCATTAAATTTCATCTATTACTAACCGGAGAAATAACCGCGCGGAGTCGCGAATACGTCTCGCGAGTTCGCGGTCGTGATTTTTGTCGTTCGCGCGTTGTCGCAAAGTTGACGGGGGAATGCAAATCGCCGGTTAACGAAATTGCAAGTTCAACGTCGACGGTCGTGACTTGCCTCTGTCCGCGTTGCATATTCAGCGCGACGTTAAACTGGCGAAATATACGCCGACCTCTTACGCGATATACTAACAATTGAATGCGATTCTTAAAAAGGATTCAAGATTCACGAGGGTAACTCACTTCCTCGCGCGCTCGTCGTCGTCGGATTCACGTCGCGGAATTCAAAACCGCTAATTCTTATTCGCACGGCGGCTAATTCACTCGCGAGTTTTCGATGTTGAACCGCGGATGAAATCGGCTGAAATTTATTGCGCCGTAACAAATTTGGCGAGTAAATTTCATCGAGCACGAAATTTGGCCTCGTGGATTATTCTTGTGCGTTTTTAACGAGTGATTCAGCCGTGATTCGGCTGGTTGGTAAGCTCTCGTCATACGCGCTCGTTTCTCGGTTAAATATTAAATGTACGATGTAAAAAATTGAATAAGATAAATTGCTTCTGAGATAAGTCGTCTGTGAATGTAATTTTAACAGATGGGACGACAAGAGTGAAACGAGTGTAATCTTGATATAACTACGGTTATTCTCAAAACGATTTTTCGCGCGAGTGATTTCTATAGCCGCCATTAGGTATTTCACTTAGCCTATTTTATTACGGAAATTAAATTAAACGATTGAATAAGATTTTATTACATTTCATAATATATACAATTTTCTAAATTTATTAATTTAATTAACCTAATCATTAGTTTTAGCCAAGTATAAATAGAGCCAGTTAAACAAAAAGGAGGAATATTTTGCAAGAAAAGATCAAATTAAAACTTTTTTTTACTATTCTATTATTTTAAATCCCATAATATAATAATATTAGCAAGTATATAATATTTAGCCATTTTTAATGAAACAGCTAACTGAGCTATTCTGATGTTGTAGAACAAAAAAGAATTGTGTATAATACACAATCCATCAAACGTGACAATTGATGAGCGAGCCAACGTGCTAATTAATCATTAGCCCGGTACCGTAGAGCGGTCTCTCGATTTTATCCGCTATTTATATATATTTCAAACCGCAATGAATATCCGTAATTGATCGGCCAACCGAGTAATTAGCGCAGCTGTAATTGAGAGAAAATCGCGTTAAAGAAGCGCGCAAAGCGCTGAGCGGGCAGCGTTTCCCGATCGCAATTGCATTTCCCATATTTGACGTTAATTGGCCGCGTGGGCAATTAGTTACAGCAATAATTGCGGAGAAACAAGATCCACGCCGGTGCCAAAAACGCCGCGGCTAATCGCGGTGTTATTCATGATTAGCCATGGCAGGAAGTTAAACAAAAAGATCTTTCAGCGCTCTGATATTATTTTACCGATAAGAATAATTTATATATTTTACCCTGCGTTTATTGCAGCCTATAAATAGCTTAATGTAATTCATTATTAATTGAAACGACTCACCTATGTAATTCTCATATTGTAACATTTGTAATATTTGACTTCGAGAAAATACACTCAATAAATTAGTTCCAATTTGAATACTGTTCTTTAAAAAAGAAATTTTATTAACGTTTTTGTTTCGAAACATTAGTGTTTCCATATTTATTAAATTTTTCATTTTTTTTTTTAATAAAATTGTACAGAGAGAAAAAATATTATTACATAGCAAAAGTATTATTATTTCTACAAATATTTATTTCGTGCAAATAAAAATTGAATTTTTGCAAAGCAACAATTTTCAAATTATTTGGTATATCCGATAGCGTATCCTTGCAAAAAAAGTGAAACAGAAAATATTTCAATTAATTAAAACACAAAAGCTTAATTAGTCGTTATTAGTGTTACTTCTCACTGTTATTTTGTAATTAATTTTCTTCCGGCCCCTTGAGCGCATCCGCGAGATTAAATATCGAAACATTAGCGATGGATTATATCGCGTTGTTAATTAATTAATAAAAAACTAGTTAGTGTGTAATCGATGAACAAAAAAAGTTCACAACGTGCGATTGTTGGATGCAACTTTAATTACTGCTCGTTTTCACAGTATTAATTGCCATGGCAGAATTTCGATGAGTCATTCTAAATACGCGCGCGTCTATGTTTTTGGTATTTATCTCTTTTTTACTTTATTTTTTTCACGTTTGTCATTCCTTTGAACATGGCGATGTACATACATATAAATAAACACGACATAGCAAAAAAATCGTTATTGTAGGATTAAATAAATACTCTATTATAATTACAACGTACAAACTAATGTGTCAATGTGTTCATCAAAAATATTACTACTTTCAAGTGTGTCAAAGGTTGAAGTTTTTAAAAAAGTTTTTTTTTGCGATTTTTAATAATTTATCAAAGCAAACAAATAATAGAAAATAAATTGTTAGTTATTTTAAAGCATAGCTTTAAAGAATTGTCATTTTTTTTATTGACATTGCCAATAAAATCTTTACATTTTATTAAAACATTCTTTTAAAATTTAAAACAAAATAAATAAAAAGTAAATTAATTTTTGATAATAAGTGAATTTTATCGTTTATAAAAAAATAACACAAATAGTAGAAATATGCTTTCAAATATGCCAGTAGAAAACTGCGCGCTAAGTCGGTCTTGAAACACAGTTTCAAACTAAAGCTGAAAATAGTACACGTAATCAAATTAATAATCAATTCAATAATCGCGATGCTAAATAAGCATCTTTTTTTAAAAACAAGGTGTAAAGAATTTATTGCGAAAAATATCACCCCAGCCAGGATTTTAACCTGAGCCAAAAATACCTAGCCCATTTTCAGCTTGAGTGTTTCAAGACCGACGCGACATTACTCGGCGTGCAGTTTGTTGAACTCGAAAAGATGTATACGTAAAAATATTATTGGGCACAAAAATCCAGCCTAAAACCATGAAAGCATATTTCTGCTATTTGTGTTAGATTTTATGTTAAAAATTTGCAAATAAAAAAAGACAATAAATTAAGTCAAGATATTCTGCCGTTCTGATAGTTATATAAATTCACAATGTCACAAACTTGTCACTTGTCTCACAAACTGTTTTAGAATTTCATTTCGCTCGATACATTAAATGCGAAGAAATAGTTCTTGTACAAATCCTCTTCTAAAAAGGGCATATTTTCCTATCTAAAAAAAGGCACTATAGTCTCCTCTTCTAAAAAGGGCATATCATTGATACTCGAATCTATCGAAATATTGTTGTTGCTTTTCCGCGATGCCGATTGGGTTATTGCGCTTACTTCATGAGCGGCTGCCATGGCATATTTTGACAGTTATGTGATTAATAGTGTAAAGTTAATAGTAACAGGGAAATATTAAAAATAAATAGCGCGCGCGTAGCACGCGTCTGTATAATGTCTAGTCATTAAAAACAAAACAAAATTGCGTAAAGAACGAAATTGGCCTCTTGGAAGACTGTTCCTCTTAAAGAACGACGAGCGCGCGAGATACCGAGTGAGCGCACCTGCACTCGTCCGGCTGCCGTTTCTCCCGAATCCGAGGAAACGGCGCCGCGGCGATCGATGTAAAACCGTCGTGTAATATCGAATACGACGAAAACTTGGGCGAATCTTGGGCACGATGGCGGATTAAAGTTCCAAATCCGGCGGCTCGAGAAATAATATGCAGACGCGCGAGAGAGATACGAGTAGAAGGCAGGAAATGAGAGCAACCAGGGAGAGAGAGTTGAAATTAAATTAAACTTTCGCCGCGATAAATCTTACTCGTTGAAGTGATATCTTCGCGAGATATTACGCGAGAGATGCGATCGATCGTCCGCTCTTTCATCTCGTTGACGGAAAATCGTGATCGTCAAATCCGAAGATTAATTCCTATTATTTGCCCGCTCTATCATTTATCTTGACTAATTGCAAATTATTAATTGTTTGATATCATATTTTCACTCTTATATACAATAAATAATTCTCTTCAAAATATCTTATATTTATAAGTTTTGTGAAAATAGTCACATCTCATATTTACATAATTATCTCTTTTTAATTATGCCAGAGCCTAATTAAAAACATCGCTATTTATATTTTCCTATTAATTATTTACAAAATATTTTATATAATTTTAATTTTGTTGATATGAACTATGTAAGTATGGTTATATATAAAACAAATAATAAAATAAATAAAATGTTTTCTATTAGAGAGGTAAAAATATGAAAAATCACGGGGTATCGTAATACCAGGTGAAGCAATTTATTTATTCGACGTATAATAAACTTGCATGCGGAAATATATTTGTTGCACGGAAACTAATGAATTTGGGTGGGCTCACCGGGAAGCATTTTTATTGTAATTGGTTATCACTATTCGATATATTGAAACGGACGCGCTTTTTTTTCCCCACCAAAATACGAAAAATTATTTCGGACACGCGAAGATTTACCAGGCGGCGATGTAATTAATATTTTCAGCGGGATATTCCCCATGTATTTCCAGAAATCTATATTTTAGCGTGTTATACTACAAACTCTCTCTCCCAGTATCCTTTTCCTATCTGCAATATATAAACAGGATTCCCATCAAAAATGTTTATCGTATCACATTCATCTCTCGGATGAATAACAACTAATTTTTGGACCTCTTCTCTTTTTCCCGAAGAATATACAACTTTTTCATATTTTAAATTGGCTCGTATTTCACAGTATATATATAAAAATATCAAAGAGAATTTCTGTTAAATAAACGATAGCTTATTTCAAAGACCTATTCTTTGTCCCGTATAAATCACATAAGTTTCCAAATGTTTTTAATTCGTAATAATTACACCTAGATCTAATGTTTTTATATAAAAGTAACCTAATCATCATGCGTTTTTAGGTCGAAAAATGAAGCATTTGCAATGCAATGGGCAAAACGTTTTACTTCTGTTCGTCGAAACACATTGAGAATTATTGCAATGTATGTTGAAAGTCATCGCATGCATAAAAACAGTTTCATATACACCCTTTCCTTCGCGAAACTTGACTATCCATCAACAAGGTGCCGTCGCGGGCAGTTTGCGGGAAAATATGAATTTGCACGGCGCATTAAAACAAATGGAATTTTCCATGATGCACATCCAGCGACGTCACGACACATTTTTGACATATTTCGCCGCCTCCGGCAAGAAAAATCATCTTAGTGGAAAAATTTATGATTACACACTGGACGCCTTATTACTTGCATTGATTGCGTACAATTCGTGCTGGAATATTGAAGACAATGGTAGCTGACAATTCCGCCATTCACACATCACGTCGCATGAGATTGTTCACGACAATCATGAGGCGATTGAAATAAATAATTTGACTTTTCTAATCGTAATCATAATCGTATTATAAATAATTTTAAAATCGTCTACATATATATATTCTTACATTTACCAAATATAATAAAAAAACATATAAGTATGTAACCAACGTATTTTTAGCATCGCTTTAGTATTGTATTATAAAAAAATTATTCAATTAATTAATTTATTTATTCGTAAATAAAATTGAATTAAATCAATAGAACACTTGTTCATTGTGCAAGAAACATCTATTTTTAACGCACATTTATAGGATTGTAATTTTTGATTAAGAAATAATGCGTTTACTTTAGAAATAAGAAATAAGATTATGATGAGAGACTCACGTTCGAAATCATCCGTTTGGTTCCTCTTGTGATGTGTGCGATGATGATGGCCATCCGGAATGGGAATCTGCTTCATGTTGAGCAGATCGCGATGCTTGGCATCGATCAGCGGATTTTCCAGCTGCGACTCAATCACCTCGAAGCTGGTGGAATTATCCGGATGGGCGATGACCTTCACTGTAAATGACCGGGCGTAACAAGTTGTGCACACCAAGTGCAATCTTCAAGATAAATCCATCGTTATAGAAGGAATTAAAAAAGACCTTTCTTCCGACTATCTTGCAAAGAGAAGACGAAAGAAAGCTCGCGATTGTGCGCCATTCTAGAAATCATTGAAAAATCGCTCTTATTCGAAATTTCAGCTGTAGTCGCGAGCTGCGAAATTGCATTCAGAGGTCGTTGGAAAATTGCGAGAGCGTTTTCTCTTTGGCTGATCCGTGAACATATTTGTGCGGAAATTTTACTGCGTTATGATGCCGCAGCTCGCGACGCGAAGAGTCTGAGAAATTAATACCTACAACGGAAAGCTTTTTTTCTCGGCTACTGTAGTGACATTGAAGTGAGCGGGAACGAGACAAAGGACTAATCACGACTTTTTGATCCTTGTCATAAGCGCACTTGCAAGACACATTGAATAAAATTTCAATTATACATGTTAAATAAAGAAATAAACAAGAAATATATTACCAGTGTTGCATTTCTAGTTACAACTTATAATTGAACTTATTTTTTTAATTCGATTAAAAAAATGTATTAGATTAATTATTGAAATTTTGGAAAAAATTTAATGTGAATTATACTTCAGATGTATAATCAAAATTTCTTTTTAACAATAATGTAATAAGTGATAAAAGTAATATAACTGAAATAGTATCTAATTTGTTTTTTTGAAAAAAAAGTATTATTTTACTTTAACATTCATGGTCGCTAATATAAAAAACATTAAATTTTACAAATATTTATTCTTCGATTTTTTAAATTTGATTAATTTATTACGTAAAATATTGCATAAAATAATTTTTCAAGATCTTAATAAAATGAAGAAACAACTTTGAAATGTTAAAACCGTTTTTTACAAAATGAGTTAAAAAGACATAAGGAAAGAATATACAATGCTAAATATTATTAATAATTAACTGGAACTAATGCTTGCCGTTTTACTTATTGTTAGATATTAAAAATTTATTAATTCGCTGTTATGATCGACAAGTCGAAGTCGCATAAATTCTAAGTACTATTCTCTCATAAATACTTATACCCGTAATTTACCTGTGCTATGCATACATATATGGTTCCTTATATTTCTTAAATAATTAGCTTCTCCTGCCGCTAAATAAATAATTAAGCGGACTACGCTGGGGTGCAAATGGGTATCACAAGCATATTTCCACACATTTTTCATACTTGTGATTATAGATAAAAGTAAACAAAGCAATGAAAATTTCAAGTTTCTTTAAAATTTAATCGTTGTTATAAATTATTATAAATTAATTTTAATTTATCTCAAATAGAATTAAACAAGGGCTTTAATTTCAATGTAAAAATTTTTGAAACTGTGTCAGCATATTTTTTCCATTTCCAATTTCCCGAATATATCCTGCCAAAGTAAAATTCATAAAAGGTACACGAGCATGCCCATCGCAGTGCCCGACGTACTCACGCAAGCAAAAAACTTTTCAGACACCTAACGTGTCTCTCTGGACACGTCCTTTGGCTTCGCAAAATGAGGTCCCTTGTACGTGCCGGTGGGCCCGGTACGAACCTTGGTCGACGAACTCTTCGCGGAGATCGAAGAACCGATCGACGGGCGGCGCGGCTGGCCTGATTTCGAGGTCATCGAGGTCGTCGTCGGCGCGGTCGAAGATCGCGCGGTGCTCGTAGGTGGGCCTGGGCGCAAACTTCCTCGGGGCCGGCAGCCGGGGCAGTTCGGCATGGCCGGGCCCGTGGGCCCCCAACGGCTCGTCCAACACGGTAGGCGTGGGACGAGCAGTCGCCGGCGCATACGAGCCCGCCGACGACGACGACAGTGTCGCGACGACGGACGGCGGTGCGGGTAGTGCGGGGTGCTGACGGTGATGGTGCTGGTGCTGTTGGTGGTGATGGTGCCGATGCTGGTGCGGGTGCGCGTCATGCTCGCTTTGGGGCTGCAGGTGCACTGTGCCGGAGGCGCGATCATGCTTGGACAACGACGACGAAGAAGAAGAAGACGAAGAAGAAGAAGAAGAGGAAGAAGAAGAAGAAGAGGAGGAGAAGGAAGAAGAAGAAGAAGATCCATCCGTCGACCGATCCGGATGATCAACGCCTGGACGCGAGGTCGCCGCGCGATCCTCGAACCGATTCATATCGGTCTCGTACCGGTCCGAATCGGTCCGAGGGTCGTACGCCTCGACTACGAGGACGGCTGGCCGGCCGGGCAGCTCCGGCGCTTCCTGGTGATGATGTCGATCGCCGTGACGGTGGTGGTGTTGATAGTAGCGATCTCCGGGCTCCCGTATGTCGTACGTGCTGTCGGGATCGTAGTACGGTGGGGTGCGCGCGGTCCCGGGGAACAGAAAATAGGGGTACATACTGGTCGGCGGCAACCAGATCTCCTGGTAGTTCTCCTGCTGCGGGTCGAACGGGTACAGGGCCGAATCCGTGCCCGACAGATCTACGGAGGTGGAGGAGGGCAGGACCTCTGTAACACAGAAGCAGAGCCGCGGACGAGAACAGGGTGAGTGAGGGTGCGCGTTCGCCATCTCGGTTTGCGCAACGTGCGAGGTCTGCGTGCTGTTGTTGTGGGGTAAAGTGTCGTGATGGTGATAGTGATGATAGTGGTAGTGGTGGTAGTTGCGGTGCACGGGCGTTAACGGGGGATAAATCGCAGAGAGGAGACTTCGGCTCGATATCGCTGGGAGATAATATACCAGCTTCTGTCTGTCCAGATAAATAATCGCATGGATATCGAGTATTATCGATGTTCCGAGACGTTGAACACGAGGATGAATGAGCGTAATTGTAGACGCAACGTTCCATGTTATGAAACTAATTTAGAATGGTTAGAATTAATCAATGTACTCGTGGTTTCTTGACATTTTTATCAAAATCAGAGTTTTTTCGGGGAAACGACAGAAACAATATAAATTAAGTAGAAATGGATAATATTATGTATGAATTCAAACATATTTGAACTAATTGTTTAACAAACAAATATAAATTAATATTGCATATTGAAATCGAGTATTTAATTCCGATCATCGTCTAACGAAGAATTTAAAATTCTACTAACAATGAGATATTAATATCTCTTTTCGAAAAGAGTCACATTTCCATGTGTTAAAAATATATTATCGTATAAGATGTATTTATTACATTTTCTGGTCAGCGAATTCTCTCTTAAGAAAAAGAATTCTTAGATGCTAAAACTATTCTCGGCGATTCCAATATTTTTATCATTAATAAATAGAGACCACAAAAATTTCTTTATTTAGAGTATATTACTAATTGCCATACGTAAATATCTCAAGATTTTTATTTAAAAAAAGAATTTAAAAAAAAGTTCATAAATAAGATATGAAAAAACTAAAACGTCTTTATTTTATCGTTCTATATTTGAGAATTGATGCACATAAATATGTCAATATATATGAGATAATGGTACTATTATATATCAAAATTTTATTATCATTTATTTTCAATGTCTATTTAAATCATTGATATAAGATCGTTGGAAAAATTGCTTTCGACAAACACAAATATAATCAAAAATCAAGAAATAATTTAAGAGAAAATAATACTATTCGTGATTTAATTGAAACTAGGTCAAATTTATTATCACTGTCAATTATCACAAATTTACTTTATAAAAATGCACTTTTTATTTATACTCTCATACTATATTTTTAACAAATTAATTCAGTTAAAAAAATATTATTTTAAATTGCATAATTATAGTTAATCGTGAGTTACTTTAAGCGCGTTATTAACGAGCAGAAATATCTTCCTGAATGTCCACACGGCGATGTCGGCGTTTTCTCGTTTGTCAGGAGTGATGGTGCGACGCGAAATAAAAAGCTAGCAAGAAGACGAAGTTAAATGAACTGGCAGATAATCGAAATCGACAGGCGACCTGGCGTCTCTTCCCGGGGAGGATTTTCGGACTCCTTCGAGAATACTCGTGAGACTTGAAGCTCCGTCCGGAGAGTCGAGGGATCCTCGTATTGAGCGTTACTGCACGCGAGAAATTATCCCGAAGCGATGCGCCGCGCTCGCCGAGCGTGATTTCGTTCTTAAGAGATTTTGGGATTCCCGAGAGATTCGTCGCAAGAGACGCAAGAGACCGCGGGACGTTAACTAAGAGGGTTAACTCTTGGCTGGTTCTGCGTCAATCGTTCGTAAGCGAAATGGAAAGCCGAATAAATTACTGCGCGTCTATTTTTTCTCGGTTTTAATTGCGCGCTTTTCTTTCAGCTGTCACGTCACATTCTTTATTCCGTTGTCAAATCCTTTAATTGCAAGTTTAATAAAGAAAGAGAGTATACATATCTTATTTATTTCATTGAACATCTGATAATTAATAAGAATCAAATGTACTGTCGGAATTAAATACTCGCGACTTATAATTTTTATCTTTAAGAAAAAATATATTTAGGTAGTAAGGCAACTTGAATACTTCCAAGTATAGTTCCCTACTACGCTTACTGCTGGACTTACCTAAAGCTGGACTTAATCAACAAATCGTTTCTTTCAATCAAATTTTATTGATATCGTCGATCATCAACTTGTCCTATCTGTTTAAATATTTAATTTGCTGTCGAAATCAACTCTGATAGCCATACGACATTTTCCGATAAATCGTTCGGCGAGACGTTGAGGAACGAAGGAGAGTATAGTGAGTCGAGTATAGAGAGTAGACAGAGTCGTAGTAGGCGTTACACACACTAACAGGCTACACACCTCAGAGAGAAAACAAGCCGTAAGTTATAGACATGCGGGTGCCGATTCGTCGATTCCCTAGTATACGGATTCACGGGCATGCAGAAATACGACATGCGGTGCACAATTCCTGGTTGCCGCAACTCCACCCCGCAGGATCGGCTCCGGGAGTAGAGCGGCTCATCGCCGCCACCTTGGACTCGCGCTTCATCCGTCAAGCGTGCGCGTTTCATATTTCACGGTGCAAGCAATCTCAGCCGATCTCGCGACGTCGATTCGTCGCGGTGGATTTATGGCGACAAAGGAAAATTGCGGGGGTGTCGAACGCGAAGCGATCGAATCCTGTCAGACGTTCTATCGCGCGATTCCAACGCGGTACAAGAGGGGATTGATACGGCACACGAGTCGGCGCGGCGATCAGATCGACAAAATTGGAAAAGATTCTCAACAACGTGGAGAGTCTAAATGATAAACGAATGAATATGATACACATTTGATCGAACCATAAATGTGCGCTCGATCTAGTTCCGATTATTCACAGGTCGCGGAGGAAAGGAAATAATTAAAAGATCCAAAGATATATCCTGTTATGTTTGCAGCGCAGCCGTTAATATTTAAATAGCAAGGTCTAACTAAGAATATCGTACAACCGTGAATATAACGGCGCAGCCGATATATTCCCGCGAGATCGTTTCGTCTCGATAGCGATTCTCCATCTCGTCGATTTATCTCGTGGGCGTTTGTCGAATGGGGCGCGCGCGAGCGGTCGCGCGCGGCGCGTCGAAATATTCATGACGTATATATATATATATATATATGTATATATATGATATGTATATATATGTATATATATATATATATATATGTGTACGCGCGAGATCGCAGACGAATGAAGCGAGAGAGACACTCGGGGGATAGTCTCCGAGGAACGGCGGCGGCGGCGAGGATATTGGTCTCGAAACGCGAATCCTCCGGGGGGCAGAGTGCGTCCTCATAGGGGGTGCCGAGGTGCGCTTTCACGTGCAGACATTTCTCTCTCGTGCGTTCCGGGATTTCGAGGGATCGATCCCTCGCGTTTCCTCGGGCCTCTCCCTCCATTTGGAACGGACGTCTCTTCCTCTCTCATGGAACCGGACCGGCGGAGGAGGAGGACCCTCCACGCCGAACCCCTTCAAGTATACCCCCGATCGAACGTTTCGAGACGTTCGATTCTGAGTATCATGCGCTCCGCTATTTCTCCGGCGTGCCTTCTTAACTTCGGATGAGTAACGTGAGATGCGACAAACCTGACCCAGGATAGTTAGGAGCTTCGATGACATTTAAAAAGAGAGATATGACAGAGATATTACAATTTTTAGCACCTTTATTTTGTAGATTTTCGTACTTTCATACACCGTGGCGAAAAATTATCGTAGCTCCTAAATATCGGCTATGAGACACCTCACGTTGTTCAAGATATTGCACTTTCGAAATGTTATTCACCCAGAAAGTGCGACGATATAGGGGTCACGGAGATTTCTTTTTTTTTGTGTACGAGAGGGCAGTTTGATTTTTATAACAAGCAAGATTGTTATAATAATAATAAATACTTAAAGATTTTGCGCTGTTTTTAAACAACTAGCTGTTGTGTTGTGATGTAGATACTTGCAATTGTAATCTACTTGATGTTAATTTGTTTTGTTGAGGTTGGATCTTGAATCTTTATATATGTATTACAATAGAATTTATCGCAATTATATATACTAGTTTAAATTAATAACTTTTAGAAGAGTATAAGTAAAAAACTGAAATAATATTCAAGTCATATTACAATTAAGATGTACCAAACAATAATGACAATTGCTTCTCGTTCGATATGTAACTAATAATAGTACGGTATTAAATAGCAATTAAGTGCTATCATGACTCGCCATCTATAATATTATTCAGATAATCAATAACTAATAAACCGCGACAATAGTGAGAGAACTTTATGTCTATCAACTAGATATGGTCTTTCTAATCAATTTACAATTTGCAATAATAAAAATGTAATCGAACGATCAACATGTACACGATTAAGCGTAATGATAGGACGTCTGAGATATTTCCCACATGTCGGAGATTCCATCATTTGTAACGGCAAGAAGTAATTTAATACGACTGCGGAGTAGTTCGAGCGCGTTTATATAAATTTCGTGTTCAAGGACGGCATTCCTCCTCCTTTCTCTCGCCCTTCTTTCTCCTTCATTGCTATTCATACACCTACCGTCTGGTTGTTCGATATCCTGGGGAAAAAAAGAACGGAGGATGGCGAAGGGTCGGCCCATTTAAAGTCGCGCTTCCAATCTCAATTCAAGATCCAGATCTACATATCGGACGAATCGTTTGGTATATTACGCGTTTCGAACGTCTCATTTTTATGTTCAAACTTGCGTGAGACAGTATTGACAGTAATGTCAAAAGTATCGCATCGATTTCAAAGGTATTTAAAATTTTTTAAAGGTGAAAAAGTCTTTAAAAATGTGTAGTTGTATTATATAAAAATATTGCTCAATGAATAATCGTATATAATTTAATTGTCTAAATATTTTTGCACATTTTAAAATAATTAATAGTAATTAATTGAAAAAGTGGTAAAATCTTTGACAGCAAGTAATTAAACTTCATACAAAAGGTAAATAATGTCCAATTTCAGTTTAGAATTCTATTTGTCGACTCGCGAAAGTTTCAAAGCATTATTAAACAAATTCTTTTTTATGAAGTAATATATCGTCAAGTTATACCGTATTTGACTCATTTGGTCACAGATCACTTAAAAAGCAATTTTTCAAGCATTTTCATTAAACGTTTGACCCGACCTCGATACCGGTTTAGATACTAAATTGTATTAGTTTGTAGTTGTTGGCTAAGTATGTCATCGACATACCGTACAGCATTTAAAATTAATTTGAAATTGTAGCAAAGGCACGCAGAATTTCTTTGTTTCGCGAGGTCGAAGTAGTTTTTTTTCTGCGTCGAGAGCAGCTAAACTGAATTGTTTGTACAATTATGTCTGTATAGCGTTGGATGTTAATTACGTTATAACATTGTTACCGTAATGATTAATTGTTCGTTTATGTTTCCGCGCTGAAAACTGCTCTCGTCCAGTCACGCATTCCACAACTGTTAATGCTATATCGTCGAGTGTGTATGTCGCGTTCATCGCTCGCACTATGCATCGCTGTTGGCGCGATTCATTCGTCAAACGCAACGCAAGAGACAACATTTGTCACACATGCGTGTGATGCGTGTAAAGATACTTACGTTTCACGTGCGTGCGTTGCACGCTTTGAGTTTTTTGTTGTCTTATTAAATTACAATTGCGAGGCACGGGCAGAAGCGTTATCGATCCTGGATGTACAGTTGGATGTTCAATAATCAAGCAAAGTATAAATTAAAATAAATTGGGGTAAAAAGTGAACTAAATAAATAAATTTAAGTGATTACCCAGTTTAAATATATAATGATTAATTTTTACAACAAATTTGTATATTGAGTTTTGTTAGTATTGTAAATGATTTAAAATACAATTTAAATACGCCAAGCATTCTATTATTATTATTATTATTATTATTATTATATAAAATAAATAGTTTGTTCCTCGCCAATATTCAATAACAAAAGAAGTATTTATTTCGACAACCTTTGACAAATGTAATTAAAAATAAACGTCACGTTTATAAAGGTTGTCGAAATAAATACTTCTTTTGTTATTCTATTATTACTTTTGTAAAAATAATTAACAGGGCATAGTTTTAAATGATGGAAAAAAATTGATCTATATTAAAACATATTGGAATAGTGAAACATAATTTCGATTAAAGTTATATTTCTATATTAAAAAAAATTTTGTTCCTGAAATTGCTGCGGTATAATACATCTCTAACGCATTATCTGCTTCTCAAAGTTAGGATTCATTGTTATCTTCGTTTTAATGCTTGCATCTCCCTCTTTAGTTAATTACGAAGAAAGCTTATCCGAGGGTGAGGATAACGTTCTCCGACGAGCCTTGAACACTGCGGTATCGCTTAAAAGTAATTGCCCCGTCGAGCAGCATTCTACCTCGCTCGCAACTTTGATGCCAGGGAAAAAAATGAGAGAGTAACAGGAAGTGGCTTCAGTTTAGTGTACGTCAGTTCTCAGCTGGAAGTCCGCTTTAAACGCGAGACTGATGTTACAATGAGCTCTTCTCGTTTATGCACTTTGTTGATAACAAATTTCGCACTTTGTTGCAAGAATTTGAGAGCGCCGTCGATTATGCATATATTATAAACGCAATTATCGTCAGAATTATTAATAAATTTATTCATCCATTTAGAAATTACTTTTTATATCTTATTCGTAATATTTTAATGTATTAGGTGTACAAATAAGTCTCCGCCGTTTTACAATAAATGGCCCCACCAGGAGGTTATGGTTGAAATTGTCAGATGTAAAGTGTTATATCGTAAGGTTGGACATCTGGCAACACCATAAACTTGACATAGTATCAGACTGTATCGGCATCACATAATTCTTTTCGTGCGAAAATGTCGAATTTTGAGCCGAATAAGCGTCATTTGCGGGAACTTTTGATTTATTTCTTTAATTTGAAGAAATCTGCAGCTGAGGCGCATCGATTGCTTGTAGAAGCATATGATGAGGCTGCTTTAAGTGAGAGAAGTTGTCGTGAGTGGTTTCAAAAGTTTAAGAACGGTGATTTTGACGTCGAGGACAAAGAACGTAGCGGAAGGCCGAAAGTGTACGAAGACACGGAATTGGAAGCATTATTGGAGGAAGATTCGTGCCAAACGCAAAAAGAACTTGCACTTACATTAGGAGTGACTCAACAAGCCATTTCAACAACGATAGACACGATAAAGTGATTTTGCAGCATGACAATGCTCGACCCCATGTCGCAAAGCCCGTCAAAACATATTGGAAACGTTGAAATGGGAAGTTCTACCCCCCCGCTGTATTCACCAGACATTGCTCCCTCTAATTACCATTTATTTCGATCGATGGCGCACGGCCTGTCTGAGCAGCACTTCACATTATATGAGGATATCAAAAATTGGGTCGATTTGTGGCAGCCTCAAAGGATGAAGCGTTCTTCCGACGCGGTATCCATATACTGCCAGAAAGATGGGAAAAAGTAGTGGCTAGCGATGGACAATACTTTGATTGAAACATAAGGTACCGTTCTTTCACAATAAATGCCCAATTTTTGATAAAAAACGGCGGAAACTTATTTGTACTCCTAATATATCTGCATGTGATATTTTTTATTGTTCTTTTCTCGTGAGATACGGAAGTTATAAATGATTCTTACACATTAAATAAATCTTTTAAATCTAATAGAATAAGACTTTTATCGAGTTATATATAGGATATTATATTTGCAACGTACGTCAATAATATTGCTATGTGTAACATTTTATTTTTAGTATGTTTATATTTTATATATACGTGAAAAATAAGAAATATTACGTATATCTAAATTAAATAAAATTTTTTGGAATAAAAATGAAAAATTTAATTCGACATTGTAAGATGCAGTTAATTTTTCTTAAATAAAATCTCAACATTGTAAGATTGCACGTGGCGATGATTGACCACCTATCACTGTAGTCCAGGATCGATGCAAACACTTCGATGCACACATCGACAGAAAGAAATCAAATAGGAATTCTGTACAAGATACACACAGACAGACACGCAAGGATAAACCCCGTAAACTCAATGTAGATACGATAGAAAAAACTTTTTATATATATCCAAAATTACTTCACAACATCGACAATCGCCTTTCACAAGGTGCTAATATAATTGTACTTGTTCATTCATGTCACAACATTGTATTTCGAATTCCAATTCATGATAAAATTTATCAAACGATATTACTTCGTACACGTAGTTACGCATCGCGTGATGTGCATTTAAGCATATCACGTTAATAGAATGGAATTTGACAAACTTTCATTAAATTTGCAAAGATTTTTATACCATTAACTAAACTAATAATAAATTTGCTTTTGCGATGGCATAGTTTGTGTACAATTAGCAGAATGTATCCAATAATAAATTAAATCTTTACTTTTCACGATTAAATAGTGCTATTACGATTATGTCGTTCGTTGACAGGACACATAAATTTAATATTCAATAAGTAATTACATGTACGACGGGAGTATATATGAATACATGGATAGAGAGAGAGAAAGAGTAAACTGTACAAATCGCGTATAGTTGGACTCACCAACGCAGGGATTGTGGTTCACCGTCGAGAAGATCTTGTCGCATCGCCGCTTAATATGATTATTCGGACATATGCAGCCGAACATTGGCGATAGTCGCAGTTGCGTCCAGGAATCATGACAAGCATCCCTAAAACAGTAAATAGAGAACGTGGTTAAATATATATAAGAATTACTCATTATGTGAAAAATATGCGTCTTACATTTTAGAAAATATATGAAAAATAGTGAAAAAAATATAAAAATAAATGTCACACAAAATAGTGAACGAAATAATAATATAATAATAAGAAACCGCATTAAGTTATTAACTTCATGAAGATTGTTGGCTATATAATTGCAAGATACGGAATCACGTTAATAACAGGCCACTGTGGTGCATTGTAATCGTGAGAGCCACCGCTTTATAAATATTATTAATTAATCGCGATGAATTCCCGTTTCGCCTTGGGCCGCGTAAATCCCTCGCAGGAAGGATTAATGACTGGCCATCAAATATCGGCGTTTTGCCAAGTATATATCGACCTACATCTGGTCCCCAATAGCCGTTAATAAATATTAAAATACGCAAGCTCCAATATTCATCGAGCTACCGTATATACCATCGATATTTCGCTATATTTTTGCACATGTCTGTGTTCCAATAATTCGCGATAATTGCAAGACATTATCGATGCAATACATATCGGAATTTCAAAACGCGCATAATTAGCGACTGCTGTCTTCGTTGTATATATTGTATATTATAAAATAGCGTGTAGAAGCAATGGCGGAGTCTTTTATAAGTCCCGGCAAGTTTATTTAATAATGACACAATAATATAGTATATAACCGAGCCGTAAATAATTAAATTTTTGTAATAACTCGGAAAATTATAAAACAAGCTATACAATTTCCGATTGAGTTTGTGGAAACTCGATATCACTACTAAAATTACGATAAAATTAATGTAATAAGGGATAAGAATAACTCGGCGAGGAAGTACTAAAATTGCTGCATAAAAGTATGTAATATTTACGTAATAACAGTATAGTGTCTTATTTTCTTGCAAAGTTTATCCATAAAATGTTATTAATAAGATATGGTTACATGTATGAAATAGCTCATTTAAAATTTAGCTGAAAATAATTACTAATATCTTCTTTTAACTGTTACCAATATACATATATTATACAATTATATCATATCCAATTATAATAATAAGTAGTAAAGCAATTAACGGATTGTTATATATATGTACAAAAAAAGAGAATTTTTAAAACTAAAGTACACTTCTGCTTATTTTCTTCTTATCTTATCGGTTTAATTTACGAGCATGCACTCTACAGATTATAGACATATCAAAAAACTTCGATCGTCAAAGCTATAAATCGTAGCTTTTTTTTCCTTCTTGTCGTGGAAGTTTCGTTAGCTTTGCAGGAGTCAATTGCGCGGGTTACACCACGCCTCATATCTGACGCGAGAACCCCGATCGGGAACTGAAACGTACTCAACTCCTTCCACCCTTTTCCCAGACGAAAATAACGTAGAAACTTTACGCGAATCCAGACCAATTGACTTTCGAACTTACACGAGAACGCTTAACGGACCTTTCCCGCACACCGACAATCCGCCACGAAGTAACAGCTCGATGCCAGTTCGATGCACTCGGTGATGCACTGAGCGATTCAAGTTACTTCGCTAATGATAAGGGATCACATTAGATCGTTTTATAACATTAAAAAAGAAAGAATACCGCGAATAAAAAAAATAATTTTTAAACATATCTTGAAATAATTGAACGTTTGAAATATTCGAGAGAAGTATATTTATAAGCTAATATAGGCAAGCATAATTAATGTAATATAGCAGAAATAAATTTAAAATTAATAATAATAAAAATAATAATAATAACAGCGATCGATACAATTAATTTATTTCTTAGCTTTTTTAAATGTACGTCTTCTTACGCGTCTAATACATAGATCGAATCTGCATCGAACACATAAATTTTCCTTATGAAACCAATATGGTACTGGTCACTCTTTCAGTAAGAGAAAAAAATATCTGGATGAGCGCAAAGGAAGTGTAATGGGTAAAGGGAAATTCGACATGGAGACTCTCGAGTTCAAAATTATTTGGGTTAATGGCACACACGCTACGGTGAATCTTGCTCGTCGAATTAAGGGTCAAAGGAGGCAAAAGCGAGCGGATGGCAAAGCTGGAACTGAAGGGACGGGGATAAGGGCGGGAGGCTAGAGGCGGAAGATGCATCAAAGGGTGCAAAGGTTCACGTAAGAACGAGAGAACGCAAGTCACGTTTCATTTCGCATCCTGTGATTTTGTTTGACTTCTCTTTCTTTCTGTATGGGACAATGTTGTCGCCAAATATTTTTATTGTTTTATCGTAAAGCCCTAAAAGATTTATCGTTATCTTTGTAGAAATCAAGTTTAATTAATTTTAAAAGCGGGGATAAACATTTTTACATCGTAAATGACATAAAAATATAAAGTATTAAATATTATTTATTTATTTATTTTATTATATTATTTTTGCACTCAGAGATTTAATTCGTAGTTATATTTACATATTATATTATTTAGCTACATAATATGTTAAAAATACGGGTATTACATGTTTAATAAAATAATCTGCAAAATACTTTCGATTGCCTCGATTTCTCTTTATTTCGCAATAATACATTTTCACAGTTTTCTTCGTGCTACCTACATCGTTATATTCTGTCACCATTACATCTGATCGCTTTGCTACTATTGGATTCATGTGGCAGCTGTGAGTTTCGCGCGGCAACCACGCAAAGTTGCAGCGAATTTTGCGACTCAGTGGTCCGCGCGTTTACGCCATTGCATTGGCGCAAATAAATCGCGTCACAGCGGTATGAATGCGCATAACCGGTTAGCTAAAATAAGAAATAACGGAGTGGAGATTCATGTGATCCTCATATACCGAAATCTTCGCGACCCATGCAAGGATCCGTCGGTTCTGCATCTTATATCCGATCGAGAGGCGGCATATTCGTTTCCACCCCATTGAGACCGAAGAAACTGTTTCGAAGAAAGTTCGTTTCCTGAACAATTCGTTCTTTAAAGTACATAAAACCGCTTCTTTGGAACTTTCCCTCAATTACAAAGTTTTCGAAATTTGATCAAGAAATCCCTTACAGAACATTGATTTTCGAAGTGTCAGATCGATATGAAGATAAGAGTTAAAAAAGAAGTAAAAAGAAATTACTTCAGAATAAAACCTTAAAGTATAATTTGTAACATGTCGTTATTAAAATTTTTATAAGAATTAAATAAACAAATATTTTTTTAAATTAAATAGCGTTAAATAAACAGATAATGTAGCTATCATGTAAATATCATAATTATTGTTAAACGCTACTAAAGAAAAATGCAATAAGCAGAATGTATTTTTCTAATTAATTATACATATTAAATATTAACCCAATATAACAAGCTAATAACACTTATATTACTTTAATATAACGCTGATTATTTAACTTGGATATTCAAAATAACTATTGCGTTAGGGCTTCGCGAGGCGTAAAATCGAGCTCCGGTCAAGTCGGATAAGACTGATCGTGGGATTTCCGCGGAAGATCGATAGTGAAACGAAGTGGTACAGACGCAAATTAGTCAGCCGTTTCTGCGAAGGAAATCGTGACAGCTCGAAACATAGTAGTTTCTACGACTAGAAGTGTCAACGACAGAAACTCGAGATGTTGTTTCCTAATGTTCAGCCGATCGGTGATTCTGATTCGAAGGTAAACCATAATCCTCCGTACGAGTCCGCTGTTAGAATATGGCTCCAGAATAGATGGAAGATTTGTCAAAATAAAAGAAGTTAAATATTGCTACAAATTGTGCCACGATACAGTCGATATTATCGACTGACATAAGCAGCACTGGAGAAAGATATTTTATACAAAAAGCAGCATCATAAATTCTATTTATCTTTATGTATTATCAGATAACTATTTTATTAATATTCGAAATAAGATTAAGAAGACATACTTTCTTGAAATAAAAGAACGAATAAAGTTTTTCTTCTAAAACTAAACATTTTTCTACACTTTTTAATCTTTTTTGAATATTAATAAAATAATTATCTGATAATATGTATATCAAGATAAATAGAATTTATGATGCTCCTTTTTGTATAAAATATTCTTTCTCTAGTGCTGCTATATGTATATGTATAATTTGTAAAATTACATTTTTCTTGTTCGTGTGAGAAATTGGAATTCCTGAAAGGAGATTAACGAAATGGATTTTATTATATAAAATCTAGGCGGATATTGTGCAAATCGTGTGAAAAGCACGACTTAAATTCAATAAGCGCGCGGTGTGTCCTGAAATATTAGCGCGATGTTTAATATTCGGTGTGAGTAGGGAAAGGTCAAAATTCGTATAACATCGCTGCATTGGGCCAGAAGAGTTATTGCAATTTTCGTAATTTGTTCACGATATAAAATGCAAAATTAATTCTTGCAGAGATATTGCTGGCTGTTTAATTATCCATTGACAATCGATTCTTTGCGGAAAAAAATGACTGGTTATCGGAAAACTTTAATGAGAAACTATTCGTAAGTGTCTATTTTCTCTAGTATTATACATAATTCTGTACTTAGAGGTAAAGGATTGTATCTCCATTACTATAAATTTAGAAAAAACGAGGTTCAAAGTTTTAAATAAAAAAATGGCGTAGTTATTTAGATATAAAATAAAGGAATCAATTTAATTTATTAAGTTTTTAATTAAGTAATTTAACATATTTAGCGGTACAACACTGCCAATAACATGCTGTACCTCCAAAATTAAGGCACTATATAAACATTTTTAATACAACTTTTTCTAAACATTGTATCTTAGGAACTATAGTAATGATAGACATAAGACCTTTTACTATTATACGATTTAAGTTTCTGGTAGGTATATATATATTGAAAAATGTATTAACTCCATTTTGACAAAAACTGAAAATTCGTTTCTTTACCTCTAAGGTATAACAGAATTATATAACTATATCTATCGCATCCTATTCTTTTTTATACATATACTTTATAAAGTACTTTTTATGTACTACCAATCTCATATGTATATAAAAACGAGTCGTTTTTATAGAGG